GGAAAGAGATGAGCCTGGGGCATCTTGTGCCAAGCACTAAGAAAAGGTTCAAAGAATGAAAGGGACAAGTCAACAGGACACAGGAGTCACTTGCAAGAGCCAATACTGGGCGGTCAGGGATAATATGAATATGAACAGCAAAATAAATAATGACAGCAACAAGCTGCATAAAAAAGGAATTTATAGCCCATAAGGATACAAAAACAAATAAGTGAATGGGGCACAGGCAAAGTTCTGTCCTACTTAGAATGCCAGCAGTAATGTAGAAGGGTGATAGAGTTCGAAAAGCCCTGTAGGAAACCATTATGTAAATCACTGATTCGGGCAAGGCTGGATGTTGAAGCCGAGTAGGTAAAATTTCATGAGGAACAGGGTATTTACATAGTCTCAGAGTACCTCCCAACAAAACTTTACTCATTACTTTGTAATTACTAAGTACAAAATACTTGTTAATTAGTATTACATGCACGCACTACCTTAACTAAAAGAAAAAGTTAACATCACCAGTAACAAGACAAATCAATAGTGTGTCTCTCCCAATATGCTCTTCTGAAAAACGCTGCCAAACGCCTGTGGTACTGCAGCCCAGCATGCATAAGCTGAGTCCACTCACAAGCAGGTGTGAGTGAGGTCCCACCGAGGGCCTTCTAGGAGACAACTGGTCTCACACTTCAGAACTCCCGCAGCCCGGAGAGAAGGAGCGCTCAGGCTGGGTGCCCAACAGGACTTCGGAGCATGCTGCATGGACCTGGGCAAGAAGTCAGCTGAGAACGGGGGCCTGTGATGAGATCATGTCATTGTCACTACCCTGATTACTATGGTTCTCCCCTGGGTATATGGGAGAAAGTCCTTATTTTCGGACAGACCAGCTCTAAGTTTCACAGAGTAATGGGGCATAATGTCAATAACTTATTCTCAAATTGCCCAGAAAAAAAATATGCATAAATAAAGAGAATGATAAGGCAAATGAGGTAAATGTTAACAGTTAGGAAATCTGGGCAAATATATTTTTTGCACCGTCCTTGCAACTTCTCCTTAAGTTTTAGGTAATTTCAAAGTAAAATTTTAAAGTCATGGGAGTTAACTTGAAAAGAATGACAGTGACCAGAGAGGACAGTTTTAGCATATAAAGAATAATGCCTGCCATGGAATGAGAATTAAACATAAAGCTCATGAGTTCATGAGACACACACAATAATAATAAATGAAAAATTAAAAACTGATCATCTTTGGGGATTATTAGAGTATAATTCATTATTTTGAAAATTGATAAAGGGAAGGAATCTAAGATTAATCCTCACTTTCGGGTACCAAGTACACTTTAGGGTAACTAACTGCTAGAGGGGAAAATTCTCATATATAAAAGAATCATATACAGCTTATTACCTGTTGATGATGACATGTATAGTATTCTTAACTGGATTGGTCTGAGAAGTATTTCATGATGGGCAAAGTCTTTTTACAAACAAAATGAGAAATACTGATTGACTGTTTTAAAAAAAAATAATTATAATAATAATAATAATGATTGGGGAAAACATAGAAAAGATATTGAATGTTGAAGCGGGGATATTAATGTCTCTGTACTGACTGACATGCATGGCATTCCCTTTTGAAAAAGCAATGTAATACACTGTAAAGTTATATGTAACCCAATGTAATATAAAGAAGATTATGATGATAATAAACAATTTTTAAAAAAAGAATAGTACATGCGTGTTACAATACCAGAGTACCTGTATGAAAAACAAAGTGTGTGTACACAGGGTATTCAATTAGAGTTGTTAATATGAGATCCATAATTTTCCAAAATGGGAAAAAGCATATCATCATATCTATGTATATTATGTCTATTCACATTAAATAAATATGTTTCAAAAGAACAGAAAAATAAAAATAAATAAATAAAATTTAAAAAAAAAAAAAAAAGAATCATAGGAAGATAACTGGAATGTCACAATTTTCTTCCCCTGATGGGATAACAGGTGAGGTCCGTGGGCCCTCAGGTGCATGGCTTAAAGAGAACTTAAATGGGCTGTATCAGGCTGGCAGCACCTGAGCCCACAATGAAAGCGTGTCCCCTCAGCCTCCGCGGGTAATGTGGTCAGCCCACGTCCAGTTGACCCCACAGCAGGTACAGCTAAGGAAAGCAGGTAAAACCCAAACAAATCGCTGTGAAAAGACCAGAGAGTGCAGCATAGATGTCAGACAACACTGAGGGTCTGTGTTAATTTGGAAGCGGTGATGACAGCGTGTGGTCAGATCAGAAAAAAGCCTTTACCTATTAGAGGTACATAATAAGGTAATTCTAATCAAATTTCTGGGATTTTGCTTAAAACTCCACATTCATGTGAAGGAGTCATAGTTTTGAAATAAAGATGATCTTAAAGTGAAAACATCAGATTCTTTCTGAAGTGCTCTTATCTGAGTAGAGGATAGTTAGAGGACAGCTTCCTAAAAATACAGCTGCCATTACCACCAGCCCCCATTGCCCTGCGAATTCCAGAAGGAGTCAGACTGACCGTGCCTGTTAGTAGGACCCTCCATACTTCCCCACGGAGGCCCTGACTCTCATCTGTGCAGTTGGTAAATAAACATGTACTTCTGGGCATTTAAGTTGCTCATTTCAGAGTACTCTTACGGCATGTAAAAATAAAACTAGTTTCTTTTCTTGTTCTTCTGTCTGTGATCAGCTTATCTGCAGGGTCCCAAACATTCAGACCTACGCTGGTAGAGAAAAACTTCCCTCCCAACAGCATTGGTCACAAGGATGGCCTTCCCCCATGTGTCAGGAGAAAAGCATTCATCTTGGATTTGATCTACAGCACTAAATAAAAAGCAGACATGCTTCTGAGACAAAGGCAAAGCTGAGGGCGCCACATTTTGATAAAGTAAAGCCATTTTCACAGTGATGGGCCCGGTGGGCACCGGGGCCAGGGCTGCAACCACAGTGACACCCCAGCACACAGGACAGCAGTTGGGAGCCCCTCCTCAGTCTGAGACTATACTAAACTCTATTCTAGAGGGTTTGAGGGATGAATAAAACTTTTTGGATAAAAAACTTATTTACTGTCAAATGACTGCAAAAGGCATTTGTCTATAAATAAAAAGCTTCAGAAATTTCTATAAAACAACAGTGTTTCAAGCTCCTAAGAACAACAGCCTTTCAGCATGCTGTTGAGAAGTACATGCCTGTGGACACAGTCTTCCTTAGGAAGGAAGGTAGCTAAGGGTTAAGTCGCACTCTGGGAAGGGCAACCCTGACTACACTAGGGAATGCTGAGGGTGAGTCTCTGACATGGCTGTGTATCTTGAGAGCTAAGCCTCAAGGGCAGCGGGAGCACCATTCCAGGACCACTGGGCCTCATGCCCAGAGAGCCAAGGGCTGCAAAAGGGTGAGCTTCCAGAGAGGTGTCCATGCTGCATGTCCAGCATCTGGTGAAGCTGCCACTGCCCTGCTAAGACAGGAAGAACAACCACCTTGGAGATCTCTGCCCCCATTCTACCCTCTGCCCTAAACCTGCCCCTCTCCTACCCTACCCCCATAAGAAGGCAGACAAGTCAGGCCCCAAAGGGCCTCAAGTAAGAATAAACTAGTGATACACTTGGCCCGTCTGTTCTAAGGACACTGACTTGTACCGCCAGTGTTATGGAATATTTGTGGGAATAGCCACAGGACTACCTGGGAATATTCATGGGAATAGCCACAGGAATAGCCAGGTCCAGTCTGCCTACTCCTGCCCCTTTACCTTGGCGTGCTTCGTGGGCACTGGGCTAGACTGCCAAGGCGATCCAATGTCCTTGCCCTTCTCGGAGCTCAGCTCAGCAGAGGTCTGTGAGAAAAAATGAGCATGAGCAGGTCACAAGATGGAGTCTCTGGGAAACCAGATCATATTTGCAGGAACGGTGGCCACCCCAGGCTAAGAGCTCCCGTGCATGATCTTGTTAACTCTCACAAAAACCCTCTGGGAGGCTGCTGTTATTACCCAGCCTCAGTTCACAGGAAGCTGGGGCTGTCATGAGCTGATGAATGGCACAGCTGAGATCCTAATCCAGCCTGCCCAAGGCTGAAGGCCTGAGATCTGACCTCGCTTATGGCATGTCCACAGAGCCAGCAGGAGACATGCGAGCCCCTGGGAACACCTCAAGCCCATCTTAAGTGATGATTACAATCCTACAGAACAGACCTCTGAGGGTCCATCAAAAACTGAGACTCAGACCCTGTGTGCCTGCCCCATTGCACATGCACTCAGGTGAGACACATCCTTTGCACACACCTTTGTGTTTTGTGTGGAGGAACAAGTGCTGCAGTAAGAAGGGGACAAACTACATGAGTGAGAGAATATAAAATGGTGGGAGATGTTAACCCATCCATTCTGCTAAGGCTTACAAAAGCCTTTTCTACCAGTTCAGTAAGGAGAATTAGCGGGCGATGGTCCAGCCTTGTCTGACACTGCCAGGGCAGAAGAGAGATCTGGGCCACAGAGCCCAGAGGAGGTGCCAGAGCTCTGGAGCAGTAACAAGCACAGCAGATGACAGCCCGAGGACTCATCTGTGTGCCACAGCCACAGGAGGAACGTTTGCCAAAACTCAGCACTCTCGATTTCCCACCATTGCTCAGTCAAATGAACCTCTCCTCCCCGGTCCCATGTGCCTGACAACCAGCACCTGTGCGGGCCCCACAGAGAAGCTCTGGTACTTGAAGGGCACGTGGGCGGTCTCCCGGGGACGCAGGTAGAGCTGAGGGCCCAGGCTGCTGTGCAGGCGGAACATGTCTTCCTCCACCGGTGTGTGCAGATTGGCTGCGTCTTTGAAGAATCTCCATTCCCGGCTGTCCAGGATGAGACTAGAGGCCGAGGGATGCAGGGTTGAGGCATCATGTACCCTACAGGGAAGATGCACCCTCCCCCCAGGCTTGTCCTTGGGGAAGTGGGTGAGGAGCCAGCTCAGCTTTCAGACAGAATCAATCAGTTGCTATGAAGCGCTGGCTCCACCTGACCCCAATCTGGGCTGGGGCAGAGCAGGAGGGGCTGCCGGGAGCATCACCTGAGCTCGGGGTTGTCGATCTCGATGGTCACCGTGTGCTGTGTATTGTGGGGGTTCTTCAGCGCAAACTCAAAGAACTCGGCCGTGCCCAGCGTGACGTAGAGCGTGTGCCGCGTGGTGATGGCCAGGCTGAGCATGCTGGTGATGCTCTCAGCCTTGGTGCGCTCCCGGTAGGCATCAATGACCTGCAGGTCCCGCGAGTGCTGCACACGGGCACTCTGCTGAGCCTGGGAGCAGGAGGGGCCAATGAGGTGGTAGTGTAGGTACACTTCCCTCCTTGGTTTGGCCCCCTCACTTCCTCTCCCTTCCCCAGAATACCAGATTTCTTCTAGGAAGTCACCACCTCTACCTCTTTCCTGAGCATGTGGTTTGGGTGGGCCTGGTCTGTGTCTACTGCAGAGGTGTTGGGACACAGAATGGGGATGCTCCTTCCTCACTGGCTGCTGCCCTTTGTGAGGTCCACACAGCTCTCCTGGCTTCTCTCTGCCCTGGCCTGTAGGCAGCCACCTTATGGGAAGGGGTCTGTCCTTGCATGCTCCCAAGACTTCACAGTCAGGAGGCTGGCACCTGAGCACAGTGGGTGGATTAAGCAGTGGTTCAAACCAAAGAAGAAAAGAATGGCCTCAAAACCAAGGCTGGTGGCAAGGCTCACCCAGCCAAGTCCCCAGAATGGTGAGAGTGCTGTCTGTAACTGGAGTCCGTGAGGGTACATGTCACTGGTGTGCTGAGTATCAGTGCCGCAGCAAGGCCCAACCACCTCCTTCAGAGGCTCCACGGTTCCACTGGCTTGGCCAAAGTGGATGCTTCCTCCAGGTTCTGTGTGCTATGAGAGGCCACTTTGTAAAGTCTAAGGCCTAGAAGGCTGCCCCCCCATCAACACCTCCCCATGACAGGTCATTCAGGCTCCAGCTTCTCCAAGCATGGCCTGCCTCAGCCCTGAGGATCTCCTGGCTAACACTGATGAGGCTGAGCCATCAGAAAGGATGAGCTGACTCAGATGCCTTCCCACTTTAAACCAGAAGGTGAGGACAAATTTGACTTCAGACTGAAGCTGAGCCTTTCATTTCTCCCTGGGCCTTAGGGGTGACCATGCTCACATCTGAGGCCTCCCTCTTGCATGTCACTGTTGGAGTTTCTCAGTACAGTGCAACCTCTGTAGGCTGCCATGGACAACAGAGCCAGACAAAGCTGGAATAAGAAATAGAGTGGCTTTTAGACTTGGAATTCAAACTGCATTGTTCTGACTCACTTCGTAGTTGAAGGGACAATATCTATTCTACCCAACAGTGAAGTGGTCCCAGGACAAGACAGTAGCAGGCTTTAGTGGCATGGCCACGTGAAGATGGAAGCAAGACTAGCCTGTTAGATTAGCTTCCAAGGCAAGGCATGTCAATGGCATCTCCCAGGTCTACCAGAAGAATCAAGGTTTAAAGTGAGGGGAAGGCAGGACCAACAGATGGCATAACGGTTATGTTGCTAGACTCCCACATAGCCAATTGCAGTTCGAGTCCCAGACCTGACGACTTGAAACTCACACCAGGCACATGTGCATGTGTGCCCAAAATCCCAAGAGGAGACCAGAGAAGAAAGGATTGCAGCATGGCCATTCCCCCAGTGGAGGGTATGATTTCTCGCTTTCTGTCTCTCTGTGTCTTTCCAGAGAGCATGTGCACCCTATAGTAAAAATCTCTCTCAAAAAATAAAATTATAATTAAAAATAATTAAAAAAATAAAAAGTGAGGGGGAAGGAGCCTGTTCCAGTGGAACGGCAGTAACACAGTGCTCTGTGCTAAGGCCACATGGGAAGAGCATCTGCTCGAATAAGGAGTGACTGGGCCAGAAACTAGACAGAGGGCTCTGGGGACCCTACCACTACACAGGCCAACCTTTGTCATTTGCAACCCCTGTCCAAGGACATAAACTTCCAGTCCTCCTGCCTAGGCTCAGGGTGTTCTGCCCAGCAGGGCTGCAGGTTCCCACGCACACAGTGGCTACCACTGATGTACAGAAGTCACTACGGGCAAGCCACTGTCCTGGGCACTGGACACAGACTAAGGACAGTGAGGCACAAAGGAGCCCGGAGACTGTCCCAGGCACTGAAAGGATTTAAACAATGGCATCAGGCTTCAAGGTCTAAGTCTCTAGCACACATGAACTTCCTGCCTGGAAGCCCTGGCACGCATGGCCCCCTGCCCCAGAGTTCTGTCTCCCTGGAGTCTTGACTGACTGCTACACCAACCTGGATGGAAGAAACACATCCAGGGTTATTCCTGTCTCCCCAATGCATGACCCTCATTGCCCAAGACTTTACCAGGGAATCAAACAGTGAACTAGTCCCACATGAAACAAATCAGGCCAGGGACCTGACAGGCAGGTGAGCTGAACAGCAGCTCTGTCTGTAACTCCCCTCCCAAGGACCAATGGACCTCACAGAATTCTTTCCCTTTCTTCAAAAGATAGTTGCAAAAGCTCTAGAAAAAGTAGATATCTCCACATATTTGATAAAGTAACTTTCACATTGAAATTCTACAGGGCCACCAACCCAGGAAGTTTTTAGATTTGGTGGAAATTTTTCTTGTAGTTAGTAACCCAATCACTTCCAAATGCAATGCTGTATTCACAGTGAGGGCTCCGCACTGTCAATTTCTCTATCAGAGCATATCAAGTAAGAGGAAACTAGCCAAATTAATAATAATTAATACTAACAACAACACCGGCAGCTGTCCTCCACTGAAGACTTACTCTGTGCCAGGTCCAGCCACTAGCCACGTGGTAGGTGGCAGAATCAAGGTCACCCGTAGCCGCAGAACAGGGACCAAAGAGTCTGTGGCCACCACGAGCCTACTCTGGCTTACTCAGGGCTGAGTGGGGTGTCTGTTGACTGTGTTTATACTAGTCCGCATGGGCTATGGCCCTGGAGGTCCTCAGGAAGGGAATGGGGCATCGTTTGTTCACACATATGCTGCCTTAATGTAAACAGGAATCTCAGACTCTTCCCAAAGCCCATGTGGTTCCTTTCTTCTATAAACCCATGAGGTGCAATTATTCTCCTATTTCTCAGTTACAAAATTTATTAGAGGGTCTGTTTAGATTTCTAGCCCTCGTGCCCCAGAAAAAAAAGGGATTTTTCTGGTCAGAATGAATATACTGACTCAAAAGATTTAAGTTGTTCACAGCTCTAGTCCCCAAAACTGGGAGACTTCAGAATCATTTGTAGACCTTTCTCAAAAACCCAGGCTCCTGGGAACCAGCAGTTAGCATAATGGCTATGTAGCTGGACTCCCATGTAGTCGACGCGGTCCCGAACCTGGTGGCTTAAAACTCATGCTGTGCATGTGTGCGTGCGTGCCCAAGATCCTGAGAGAAGAATGGAGGAGAAGAGATTGTGGCGTGACCATCCCCCCTGGGGGGTGATTTCTCGCTTTCTGTCTCTCTGTCTGTCTCTGTCTGTCCGAGTGCATGTGCCCTATAGCGAAAACCTCTCAAAAAAAAAAAAAAAAAAAAAGAAACAAAAAAAACAGGCTCCTAAGACGAAACCCACACCCTTCTCTTTGCAGGTGTGCTTTGTCAGTCGTTTGCTATTACTGTAGCTCTCTTTCTATGCAGTTATGTCCCTATGTGCACATGTGCACTTGTGAAGGCAATTACATGTGTTTTTGTTTAATATTTAACCCGTTTCTCCATAGCATTCTGTGTGCCTGATCATGCTGTGGTGATCTCTCCTGCAAATTCTGCTGGAGCCATCTATGTGTTGCCTTGAGGAAGATTCACAATGATCAGTTCAAAGCCCAGACCAAAAAAGCTAGCCATGGGACCAGCAGTTAGTGTAATGGCTATGTCGCTGAACTCCCATGTAGCTGATGGCAGTTTGAGTCCCGGAATCGGTGGCTTAAACTCATGCTGGGTACATGTGTGTGCGTGCCCAAGATCCTGAGAGAGAGGAGAAGGGAGGAGAAGGGATTGTGGCATGGCCATCCCTCCTGTGGGGTGATTTCTTGCTTTCTATCTCTCTGTCTCTCTCTCTCTTTTTGATGAGCGCACGAGCTCTATAGCAAAAACCCCTAAAAAAAAAAAAAAAAAAAACAGGCTCCTAAGAGCAACTCCCAACCCAAACCAAATGAAATCACAATCTCCAGGGGTGATGCCCAAGACCTGGCTTTTATTAAAAGCTCTCTAGACCATTCTGATTTGAAATTTTCCTCCGAAGAAGTCCAGTTCTCCTATAATCTGCAACTAGGATGTGGGAGGAAGAGAAGAGAGAGAACGTATAGGAGACAGGGAGAGACGGAGGTTGCAATGGCTCAGTCACACTTGGAGACCCCCAGGAAAAGCATATGGCCAGGGAACCCTCACCAGCAGGCTGGTCCCACGGCTGCCGGTCTCTCCTCTGCACTCCTGCAGGCGCACCGACCGCATCCTCTCCAACTTGCGCCTGCGCACAGCATCAGCCTCACGACTGGCGCCATGGGGGCCCTTGTTGCTCCGGGTGTGGGTCATCAGCATGGCGGCTAGCTCGCTGTCCACATCGGCCAGCTTCTGCGCCTGGACCACATTTTTTACAGCTGAAAGAGTCACAGGGTAGAAGTCATCAGGGGATGTGCAAAGTCTGTGCTATGAGCAGACCCAGCAACAGGCTTTCCAGAGCCACTTATCCAGGGAGGGAAGTCGGAGTGCATCTATTTCCTTCCTTTCTGTAGGTCCAATCTGTTTCATTTTAGGATGTTGATAGAGGTGATTTTATAGCCTGGTCTCCATGGTACCCCTCCTTTCACCTCTAGAGTAGAAAGAATTCTGATTTTGCTCCTTAGCGATAGTTGTCAATACACTGTTAGGTGACCTTATAGGGGGAAATGTCAGTATTCTAGAAGCTCATGTCTCAGGATTTTGAAGGGCCCACTAACATCTTACCTAGGACTGCCATCCTCAGCTCACTGCAGCTCCTCCAGGGAGCACCACCCTCCTGCCAGCCTCAGCTCACCACTCTCCAGGTAACACCCCCTTCCTGCCAGCCTCGGCTCACATGCAGCTCCTCCACGGAGCACCACCCTCCTGCTGACTTTGGCTCACATGCAGTTCCTCCAGGAGGCACCTCCTGCATTCTGGGTACTATCCTGGGCTCTCAGAGGCACTGGGTCCTCAAACCAACCCAGTGTAGGGGTGTCATCAACCCCAAGTTCAGATAAGGAATCAGAGGCTCTGAGGGGTCACACCCCTTGCTGGAGGCCTCTCAGCTGGTCCAAGGTGGATAAAGCTCACACCAGGCCTGGCTCAAAAGTTCACACTCTTAACTCTGCACCTGGTGGCCCTGGACTGCCCAACTCCTTTACAGGTAGTTCTACCCAAACCCAGGAAACACAAGAAAAGCTGTTTAGCTGATAAACAGATGGCAGAAGGGGCTAGGGGCCCACTTCTGTGGTGGCAGGACAGTGTTTTCTTCCTTCTATCACAGAGATGGGCTTAAGGTGGCAGAGGAGCAGGATCTGTGCGCAGTGACAAGGCCTATAACGTCTGACTCTGACTCCTGGATAATCACTCAATGCAACACAGGCAGGGCAGGTGAGGAGCATCCCGGATCAGGATCTGAGCCCTTCCTGACTCTCAGGAAGCACGGGAAATTTCCTATGAGAAAAAAGCACCATCCCGAGTCCCCCAACCTGGTTCCACTTCCTACCTTCAGACGTCGACAGCCTCCTACTGCAGCACTCCACGTAAAGCAATTCTCCCTCACTCGCCCACCTCTTCCTCCGTCACAAGTAAACAAGTGCTATTTCCAGGTTTCTCGCCACTGTTCTATTTTAAAGCCATTTAATTGCTTTTCAGATGCCACAAGTCAGTTTAGACATCTTAAAAGGCCAACCCAAAAGAGCATTTTCTGTGTCTCTGAGGTGCAGGCAGGCAGGGGGAGGCCCAGTCTAGAATCAGTTCTGGGCTGCCACAGCCACAACCACAGGTAGAAGAACCAGGACAGCTTCGAGGTGTGTAAGAAGTTCAAATTTGCAGACTGCATCATCATGGCAAATGCCCCTCCCGGTCATAATAGAGCCAGAAATGAAGTTCCAGAGTGACCACGTGCGGCCTCACTTGCTGAGAGGCAGGAAGCACTAAGAATGTTTTAAAATTCCACATAACTTTCTAATTCCAGAACCATGCCCACTGAGGAAGACAGATGCTTTCTAACAGAACACCTATCTTGGCTCTGATCAAACCAGGAACTGGAGGGCCACAGATTCTACAAGTGCGCAGTTCTCTCAGCAAATCCCTACTGGCCCCAGCTTTCCGGGCAGCTGGCTAAGCCCCTGACCTGCACAAATACCCTCAACCTCAGTCCTGGAGCACAGGGTCTTCTCATTCTGTGGGGCAGGCTCACCATCCACTCTCCTGGTGGCCAGCTGACCCCAAAGCAGGGGATCTAGATTTCAGCCCAAGTTCACCACCCTTAACCACATCACTGGCCAGGCCATCTGACCTCCCTCCACCTCTCGTTCTTCAATATGAAAATAAGGAAGCTACCCCAGAATAAGTTCAGCCTGTGTAGACCATGAATTAAGGATCATGGGTTGTACATTCCTTGGAGCATCTGCTGGGCCTACAGGTCCCCTCTCCTTGGAAGAATAAAGTTGTACCTGGAGTCCCAGGTATACTGGGTTGCTGGAGGTCTTGCAAGATGGAACCCAAAGGCCCCTCTGAGTTCTAATAAGCCACAGCTCTGGGATTCCTTCCTGGAGACCAGCTAAAGGCCAACCAAGTCAGTGTAGACAATCAAGCCAAAAAAACTCATGGTAATCTGGGATTCACACAAACATGATCTGCACCACTAAGGGAAATGCTACTCAAAGAGCACGTCCCATGTTTAATTCAAATGATAAATATTTTATATTCAGATCTGTGGGTCTTAGGTTTTAAGGGGATTTTTTAAAAATAACTTGAGAGCTTCCCAGCTATGAAAAGTATTTTCACCCAACCCAGGTCTTTCTTTTCCAAGCTTTACGATTGTTTATCACTCCTCTTCACAAAATGAGGGTTTCAAATTCATTCTTTCTTTCTTTTTTTTTTTTTTTTTTTTTGGAGGTTTTTTGGGGGACGGCAATAACATTGAACTTAAGAGACCACAGTTCTGATTCTATTCAAGATTTTTGCAATGGGTCTTGCATGATTTCTAGTGATGACATATAACACATGTGATACGAGCCAGAAATTCTAACAAGCCCATTTCCCAATAATGAAAATATGAAGTCATCTGTTGTGCATTTAATAACTTAGAGCAGCAAGGGAGTAATCTAATTTGCATTGGCTAATGTTATCAGGTTTCTGCAGACATTCTCCGATGCAAAGCTTGATGTCTAACAGAAGATAATGATTCATAACAGCCTGAAGCAACTATTGAGAATATTAGCCTTCAGGTTTTCAGCTTTCCATTTTCTGGGTTTTTTTTTTTTT